TGCGCGTGCAAAAGGCGGCTGGCGGAGGGTCGAAACGGCTTGACGTGGATGCGACAGCCGCAGACTCTGCAGTCACCTGTTGTTTGTGATCGGGGCCATCAAACCAAGCATCACATGGGGACCGCCCGCCGTCCCTTCAGCATCCGTAACGCCCTTCAACTTGTTGATGTTGAAGCGAAGATGAGAGTTCACGGTTGCACGATGCTGTTGACCCGCTCACGGACTTGGAGCTAAGATGATGCAAGTGAGGACCTGAGCTGGCTCTGAGACAAGTCCATGCAGGGGTAAATTGAAGTCTTTGATGATGACAACATGTCGCCACCGTGGCTGAGAAACTGATGAGGCTGGATAGATGGACAGCGATACTTCCCCTTCACCTGAATGCCTGCATTCTTGCAGTGCACGCTTAGGGTCATGACGGTGAGGCGCGACACAAGGGTTTCCGCGGGAACAAACTCGTCGACTCTGTTGCTTTTCGGTATTTGGGACGAATCGTCATCCATGACAGAGTGCACACCATCTCATCGTCGGCATCATGTGCCGGGCAGCGCAAGCCTGCCGGATCGTGGCGTTCAAAGATCTTGGGCCCTATTCGGATCTGTTCGGTGGGGGAGGGGGGGGGGAATGAGTTTGTGGTGGGCTAACACACTAAAAGTCTTGAGACGAACCTCGACCTTCGTCTGTCATTGGCGCCAGGCGCTGGACCGCTCTCACTGAACCGACATTTCTGGTGGGCACGCATCACTGCCCGTCTCGTGCGTCACGTTATCGCCAGGCCTTCGCCAGACCACACTGTCTCACCTTAGAGTCGACCTAAAGGCCAACTAATGACACGGAGCGCGGCGCAAGGGGCGCGAAGAGGCCTGAAGTGGCCGTTGAGAAGCACATGTCAACTCGGGATGCTGTGCGCCGGCGAAAGATTGGTGGATCACGAGACCCTCTAACCATCTCATCCGACGAGTCGAAATGTCGTCTCGCTTTCATCTCGTCCAAAAATTAAAAAGCTCAGGCCGCTTGCCGCGCCTGCGTCCATTGTGGGTGACGCTTCAAGGGGTCCCCTTGCTCTGCTGCGAGGCTTCGTCACTGGCGTCCTCAGACTTGAGATCCGCAGGCCAAACGGGCAAGCATGAACTCGACGCAGGCACAAACCCTTTTCTTCGCCAACAGCCCTGTCGACCAAATCAAAGACCAACAGCAACCTGGTTCTAGACGATGAAAGTCGAAACGAACACACGGACTCTCATGCCATCTTTACCTGATCGTATGCCAAGTTGGGATCGCTGCTGCCAGAATCGAGAAGTACATGAACCGCGCAGGACCTGATCGAGGGACCGGGGCTTAGGGAGCTGGGGGGGGGGGAGGG